TATTATTGTGATAATTTCGTAACAAAGCATTTATGTATTGTTTGTCATAGTTTTACTTGTAGAACACACTGTATACCCTGAAGTGTGCACAGAAAAATGCATAACACTCTGCATAATTTAAAAAATCCACATAAAATTCTTTGCAACGGTGTCGGGTCTCATGAACCAACGTAGCGTTTAATTAAAGGTGGGGGTTAGGGTAGAGTGACCTGTCCCTTCGAAAAGTTTGCGGGCACTCGACGACTTACGATCTCCGGGCTCAGTACAAACAGTTTGACGGAATCGGTCGCAGTCTTTATCCGGGGTCGCGTTCCTCCCCCCCCCGTTTGTGCCGTTTTCTTTCTCTGCTGAGAGTGCCCCTTCCTCGTCCCCCTTCGCGGCTTCTCCGCGTCCCCCCTCCTCTGTGGTATTCCCCCTCCATCGGTAGTCTCCCGCGTGTCACCGTTCGGACGCAGGCACGGGCGGCCAGAGCCAGTCGACGCGAACGACAGCCAACTCTCCGCGATTATCTTTTGTCCGATCGTACGTGAGCGCGTGTGCGCGCCTCGTGCTGTGTTTGTTGCGCGCGGAATGAAGGTGCGCGCGCGCACCACCCGGTACACACACGTTCCAGCCTCTCCCGTGGCACTTGGTCCCTTTTGCCTCCATGCTTTCGTACGCGTGTGTGTGTATACAGGGTGTTTCGATAAGATGGGACAAGTCGACACGCGCAAATTTCTCGTGCGAAGAGGTATCGATATACAACGTTTTTGGGCTTGGTTTAAGCTTAAGTTTACGCATTTATTGAGTCCCAATGTAAATTCACTTCTCTTTTATTTTGTACACAAGAAAATTTCTTGGGCTTACCTAAACTCTAGCTTAGTTGCATTAGTAAAGTAGGAAATCGATTTGGGGTTGAGGGAAAGCTAGAACAATGGTACTGTTTACTGTTTTATAAATCCTCCGTTCTTAAGGATCAATTAATAGAATTGTTTGATCCATTGAATAATTTCGACAGCTACTTCTAAAAACTAACTTCTAGTGGGTAACAGTATCATAAACCCAGGTTTGAACAGTCTTGATTAGAAATGTGTGTGAATGTTATGAACACGTGTGTTTTGAGCGTGACAGCGTGGCTGCGCAGCCGCGCGATCAGCTGACTGGAAAACAAATCAGTAAAACATGCATCATTCATGGTTGTAGTCGTTGAATATATTTAGATTCTCTTGCAATCTTTTTCTGTAAATGTATAAAATACCTCTCTTTTGTAAATTTGCAGAAAAATACTTATATTAATTTTTTTAGTTTTACAAAATGCGTTTTTTTTTGTACATTTTGTTAAAAATTTGTAGGAAAAAGTTGGATCAAAGAGAACCCAAAACCAGGTAAAAAACGTTATAAATTGAATACATATATTGAGGGACTGCAAGCGCGAATAATGTGATTTATTTTGGAGCAAGCTTTATGTTAACAAATTAAAAATTAGTATGCTTCAACTTTTGCCCACTCAAAGCAGAATAATTTTTACTCGGTTGTGGCAATTTTCCTGTATTCTTCGTTCGTAAGTTGGAAACTTCTCACTCGAAAGAACCACATAGAGACAAAGAAGAGTGCTTGTTCTCCTCTCGTGTTTGTAAGTAACTCTTGGCAAATTTATTCGGCTCTTCGAAGTATCCCGGAAAGTCCTGTAACGCCCTTTAGTTCTGTAATGCTACATACAGTATAATATTTACTTATAAGACTTAGGAAGGCTCCTTGGCGATCACAGGGATTTTAAGAATCATAAAAGAAGAGTATTTCTTCAAATATTGGCTCAACAATCATTCTAAAGCAACGCTAAAAGTCGTGCAGTTGTATTCGGTGGCGGTATGTATACAAAAACACATTGAAACCGTTGGATAGACAAATAAATCGAGAAAATCAAATAATATTAATAGGAAAGATTGATTATAAAGTCTACTGCATCTCAGTCATTATTGTTCTTAGCTAATACTGCCATCGATTATTACTAATATCAACGATTTCCAAACCCATAGAAAAGGAATCACTAACATAAGTGTAGCAGTGGTAGGACGATGGCAGGGTTGGTAGAGCGGTTGACTAGCAATCCAAAGGTCGTGAGTTCGAATCCCTCCGTCCACTTTTTCATTTTTCCTGGATTTCTGTAATACTATCGTCTGTTAATTCTGTTGTCGGTTAATACTATCAATGATAAAATTCTGTCATCTGTTAATTCTATCATTGATTAGTACTATTAAGGGTTAATATTGACGTTTGTTAATACTGTCATGGTTTAGTATTATTGTCAGTTAATCCTGTCGTTGGTTAATATTATCAATGATAAGTTCTGTCATCTTGTTAATTCTATCATTGATTAGTACTATTATCAGTTAATATTGAGGTTTGTTAATACTGTCACGGTTTAGTATTATTGTCAATTAATTCTGTCGTCGGTTAATCCTGACATCGGTGTTAATTCTGTCGTCGATTAATATTGGCATCTGTTAATACTGTAATCAGTTATCTACATTATCATATCGGTGTTAGTACTGTCGTTGAAGAAACTTAGTGTCGTTAAAATCTGGTCGTTGAGTAAAATCCGTGCAAACGGGCTTGAAAGAAAATACCGAAAAATGCCTCTCTGTGATTCCAAAGCGGTGAATTCTACGAAACAAGCTATGGTAGGGAACGTGTTTATAGAAACACCCTGTATACGTCCCGCGACGCGCCGACAGCGTAGCGCCGCGACGGCCAGAACGACGAGCTTTATATTATCGTCGCTCCCGGCGATACCGCGTAGCACGGGAACCCAGTAGCGGTAGCCTCCTCTTCGTTGAGCGTCGGGTGAGTGTGGTAGAGAGGTGTGTGGTATGGGGTGGGGGTGGTGTGGGGGCGAGAGAACACTGGGAGTCTGGAATTTTGCGCAGCTCTGCGGGTCTCGATGGCTGGGAATATGGGTATTATCGGTGGGATGCTTTTTGAAACTGTGGCTCGTTTGGTCCTCTTTCTCCTCTTACCCTTCCCTACCTGCCCCCGTCGTCCATGCTCCCGCTCTCCTAGAAGGTTGTAATTATTTGCGAGCACGTGTGTGCCCGTGTGTGTATGTGTAGGCGAGTTACGCGGTCGCGTAGCTCGATACAAAAGTAACGCTGTCGGGCATGCGGCAAATCGACGATTCGTCGAGAGTTGTGTGTACGTGTGCGCGCTGTTTGAACAATCAGTCTTCTGTTTTATCAGTTTGATGTTATTCCGCGGAACGGCCGGGGTCTTTAGGAATTTTGCGAAACGCGTTACTCGGCTCGGTGCGCATTCTAGTTCAGAAGTTTATTTTACGCCCAAGTTTCGGTTCCGTTTTGTTTAACGACCAAGGGAGTCTTTTAGCGTCGGAGGGTTGCGTGTTGCTTCAAGGATTCCTCGTCGTACGTTTCGTTGGTAGTCACTTTCGTGAAAATTATGGAGAGATGTGTTAGATATAAATTGATTCCTTTGTACGCTTTTGTATTTTATTTATGAATCTAGGAAGAAAAATAACACTCATTCCAGGTCTGAAAGGCGCGTCTTCTTTTTGTACTCGAACAATGTACCAAACATAAATTCTTTTCTGTATTTTTGGACTAACGATTTTTAATTGAGCTAGACGTGGTTTAAGAGTGTGTGATTTAGGGACGAAAATTACGCGTAATTGACAAAGTATGCGAGAAGGCTACACGGAATACCACGAAAGGCCACAGGTTCTCCGTCCCTAAGCTGGGGTCAGCTTCTCATCAGATACCTTAGTATAGTTACCTCAGCGGTAGTTAATTACTACCCAGTTATTGATCGTTTATGAAATTTTTTACCCCCTAAAAAACACCCCTTTTAATAAAGAAAGTCATGACGAGTCAGATTTATCGTTGTACTACAAGGAGTTAACCAGATCACTGTGCAAAATTTTGTATTATGACGAGTATATTCGTCACAAGTAATGAGTAGTGACAATTTGCAGTTTAAATTGCAATTTTTGTGAAAACTAAAATATATTCGTAAACTTCAAAATGTTTCAAATATTTTGAGGCCCATCGAAATAAAAGGAACAAATAAAAGTTTATAAATAATTAATATAAAAAAAACTGTATATAGTGTAAATTATTTTTTGTAAATGTATCACATTCTTTTAAAAATAATATTCGAAAAGAATTGTATGTACCATGCTTTGCTCAATACCATTCTCTAACAGCAAATTAAAGTAAGAAATTGATTTTTCATGTCTTTGTTTCGTTCATATGCAAAATATTTATGTTAATTTAAGTAAATAAATAAATGTGAGTGATGAAATAAAAAGATAAAAGCCATTTTATTACAAGCCAATTTCACTCTGCGTTTGACGAGTATACTCGTCATCGCCAAATTTGTGCAACGCAATTTAGATACGAATTTTCCAAAGAGGTCGAAACAGTTACCTGGTTGATAGAGTAGTAGAAAGGTGTTTAAATTATTTGCATTGCAATTTTTATATTTTAAGAATTTTTTTTCGAGAACCCATAGGATCGAGCCTTTTTTAGAGGTCGAAGCCCCTAATTTCGGGAAATACAGCACTAAACCGAAACAACGCCGGTACGGAACTTCGCTAAACCTTCAAACAGCGGGACATACCGAGAACTATAAATAAGGCGAGGCGCGTCGACTATGTGCCGAGAGGCGAACGCTAATTGTGGAAATTACTCGCGGCTCGGGGGTTCCGTGGTACTTTTCGAATCGCTGGTCGGAAGGTGGCGTTAAACGTACGTAAATGCGAATGGAAATTAAATTTGAACCATTTGCAAATATCGTCGGGCGATTTTTACCAAGAATCTCCGTTCTCGTTTTTTCCATTTTGTGCAATTTAAAAATTCTCATCCGGATACGAGATACACGACTTTTTACATGAAACTAGAAATTTCAATTGTAGAATAGAATATTTCACAGTTAAGGAATAGAAATTGTAGACATAGTGTGTGCGTTTAACGAGTTAGTGAATTTCAATCGAACGTTGCTAATTTCAGGTTCGAAGGGGTTAACGGATTTGTCGTCACGACGGTCATCGATGGTCTACGCTACTAACCTCGAGCGAAACATGTATGTATAAACATTTTTGTTTAAACAAAATCGCATAATCGATCGAAAACAGTAGAAGTAAAATATCTTTCTCTTTTGTGTCGCATATTTTATAAATCTGTACAAAAATATCCAGTACTTCCACTCAAAATGTGCATATTTACTACTTTAACTTAATACAGAATATTTATAAACTATGGCGAAATTTTTTAATTTTCATCGGATAGAGGATAAAACGCCCTGGAAAACGAATTTTGTTTCAAGTCGATATCGTGGTTAGTTCCAGAGAAAGTAATTATTTACGAAAAAAATGCTGACTAGTAATTGAGCAAACATCCTTTATACAAATTTTAATTCATTTTCAATTACATAATCAGCAGGAATTGCTGAAACTTCTTTGAGTATGTAGCGACAAAGTAAATATAAAAATAAACATAGAAGATAGCATAAATTATAATAGTTGGTATAGTCATCGGATAGAGGATGAGATGCCCTTTAAAACGAGCGTTTAAACGAGCCGATAGCGTAATTGGTTCCGAAGATATGAGGATTTTAATTTCAAGTCGATCGGATGGCTAGTTTCGGAGATACGAGGGTTCGAAGCGTTTGTTTACGTTTCATTGACGCGAGGTGAATGACCTTGCGCGTAAATAGTAGACCGTGCGTAGTAAATTCTTGGAAATACTACGACTTCCCGGTCACGACTCTCACGACTCACGTGCGAGAAGGAGGTCCTACGCGACGCGTCAGACGAAGACAGAGATAGTCGAATTAAAGAAATTACCCCTTTACATAAATTGCGATATCTCCAAAACGGGAAGTCGGATCGACATAAACGAAACACCATTTCAAAAAGGAAGCTTTGCCGCTTCTAACAATGCTTTAATAATGGATAAAACACTAGTAGTTTCGGAACTGCACGCGTGCAAAGATTAACTATTTATAATACGCGTTGGTACTCTTCTAAGACAGTGAAAACTGATCTACTCCTTTCATCTTTGCTATTATATTTTCTGTTTACATCAGAAACTATATTACTAGAATTTGACACCAAATTTTGTTTTGTACAAAATAATATAAATCCTTCAACTGGTCAAGATAGACTATATATTTTTCCCATAAAACAAACAATAAGAATAGAAGTAAATATTGAAAAATAGATTGTTCGTATACTATAAGTAAAGTCGTGAAATTAAATAGCATTAAAATAACATTGTATGTTAAAAATTCTAAACGAAATTTTAACGTTTCTTTTCAAATTCTAAAACGTTAAATTCTAAAATTTCGCTGCCGTGGCGGGCCATGAGGAGCCAATCGGTTTATCAGATATTTCTCGATGGATACTTTAGCACGTTACCGCGTCGAGCTCGCGATAACGGTTTTCCATGGTTCGTTTAGTCGCGTGCAAATCACCCGTTCCGTGGCCGCGTATAATTTGTACGTTATACGCTCGACACTAGGCAACCCTTTCTACGAGTACCTATACGGGGCTTCGTCGTTTGTGAGCTCCCCTTCATGGGCCGGCGACGTAGCCTCGTTATCTGTGCGAGAAAGCCCGATTGATGTCGTTTTACGCATCGACGATCGCTCTGGATTTCGGATCGATGACTGGCAAAGGGAGGGACCGAAACGGTGGACTGGGTCAGAATTAATTCCAGGACTTTTTTGCCGGACCCGCAGTTAGAAAATCGACAAGGGGCTTTGAACGTCCTTTCAGCCTACGGGTCCAAGTTCTTGCTTGGAAACAGCCCTGACATGAAAGGACCAGGCTCAAAGCCACCGATGATCCTTTTTTGGTATTTAGTCAAAACTACACGATCTGCCAAAAGCTGCATGGAATTAATTCCGACTTCAAATACCGAAGAAAATTACTCCAGTACGCTTGACCACTCGTTCCGAGTCACAGGTTGAGGTCAGACGTTCCTAAACGTCGAATCTGATCAACGACTACTTACCGCAATTGCCCTATCGTTTATTGGCCGTTTTCCCGATCCAGATCGCGGCCACAGCCTCCGACAAAAAGATCGACCGTGTTTTAGTCCTCTTTCGAACGACGTTAGTTCGTTTTTCTGATCAGTTCGAAGGAAATCGTCGGGACTGCACTTTGGGAACGAGTGGAGGAAAAAGCTTCTTGTTTGCTGTTCAATATGTTGTGATTAATGGCGAAATAATGTTCGGTTTTTGGTCGTTAGCGCTACGTGGGACTTGCGTTTCTTCAGAGATTCTTCGATCGTTTGAAAAAATACAAAATTCCCACGGATGCTTCCCCTTGTTTGACCCTTTGGACTCTAAAATAGTTCTCCACAATAATGGGAATTTTACAGAAAAATTTACGATTCTACTCATATACAGGAATCTTAATAAAGTATATAAAGGGTGGAATATTTTTCCAGAATTTGAAAGGTGGATTTAAATTTTAAGTCAACATTGTTAATAAAAAAATGTCACGAATTAGCTCAGGCAGACGCGTCGATTGTTTCGAGGGATCTTCGCGCGAATCGTTTGGTAAATTCTGCTCGACTTTGTTGCACTTTTTCGACGGATCGAACAAAATGGAGTGCTCCATCGTCGCGGTGGGTGTATTACGTTCCGTGAGCACGTCGAACTCACGCCAGTCGAATAAATTGTCCCGATGACGTCAACGGACAGTTCTGTCTCTTGCGAATGTACGTGCACTCTGATTGCAGTATGCGCACGCTGCACCTTGCGCATGGAAATGGAGGCGTGTGCTCGCGAACTGGCATGGAGAATGAGTCAACCCGCGACACGTTTCTTTCAGCGACTTCGATTCCTCGTCGCTGATCGAACCAGCCTACGCGCTCTCTCTTTATGGTACAGTCGCCTGATCCTGTCCTACGGTCGCTATGCATCCATTCTGCGTTCTCCATTTTTACTCTATAACCCATACGGAAGGAGATAAAATATTATTTTAGACCTCGATACTGGTCACAGGGAACGCCATTTTGTTTGGACGTTCGATAATCCAAATTGTAGTTTTGAACGAAATTATTGTGATTATTAGTGAGCACTAATATCGAAGTTCATATTGAAAGGCAAATTTTCAATTGTACCCAATTGCTAGTAAAATATTGTGAAATAATTGTGGTATTTACTTTGGACCTCAAAACAGGTCATAGGGGACGCCATTTTGTTTGGACGTTCGTTAATCCAAATTGTAATTTTGAACGAAATTATTGTGATTATTAGTGAGCACTAATATCGAAGTTCATATTGAAAGGCAAATTTTCAATTGTACCCAATTGCTAGTAAAATATTGTGAAATAATTGTGGTATTTACTTTGGACCTCAAAACAGGTCATAGGGGACGCCATTTTGTTTGGACGTTCGTTAATCCAAATTGTAGTTTTGAACGAAATTATTGTGATTATTAGTGAGCACTAATATCGAAGTTCATATTGAAAGGCAAATTTTCAATTGTACCCAATTGCTAGTAAAATATTGTGAAATAATTGTGGTATTTACTTTGGACCTCAAAACAGGTCATAGGGGACGCCATTTTGTTTGGACGTTCGTTAATCCAAATTGTAGTTTTGAACGAAATTATTGTGATTATTAGCGAGCACTAATAACGAAGTTCAAACTGAAAGGCAAATTTTCAATTGTATCCAAACGCTAGTAAAATATTGTGAGATAATTGTGGTATTTATTTTGGACCTCAAAACAGGTCACAGGGGACGCCATTTTGTTTGGACGTTCGTTAATCCAAATTGTAGTTTTGAACGAAATTATTGTGATTATTAGTGAGCACTAATAATGAGGTTTAAATTGAAAAGAACATTTCAATAATCACAAATTTGCAATAGATATTATTGGAAAAATTTATGATGATTTTTAGTAAGGTACAATGACAGAGCTTTATGTAGATAATTTTTCCATATTGTCTAATGTATATCTAAATATATTTGCTATAATAACATCTCTGTAACTCCTCCAGTAGCAGCCATTTTTTTTTAACACTAGAACTACCGACAAGTATGGTTTATTATTTATTTGTACCAAAGTAGTTAAAACGATAGATACTAGAAGAAATGTATAATGCAATGGAAATAAGTGTTTATTCATCATTTTATAAAAAATTAGGGTAAATTTTTAAAAATCGAGTCCAGTAGATTTTTTTAGAATTTTTATCAGAAATTATGAATGGGTTTCATTTATTAACCATTTTAACCACTTTGATGGGATGAAAAATATTAAATAAAACATAAAAATGAAATATATTCGATTCGTACAACAAAAAAGCGGTATTAGAGTCTAATTTGGCACGATTGAAGTATCTAGCTAACCTAATTCCATCGCCATTTAATTGCAAAAGAAAACAATGAAACTGTAAACGATGAATTTTGTTTTCAATGATTTCGAGGTTAGTAAATTCGAACGCGTGAAGCAGCGTTGCAAATCAACGGGTGTTGAAAACATTAGCGTCAATTAATAGAGTAAGCGTTGAATTGATTATCAATTCTCGTTATAAATTCTTTCGATAACGGGGAATGCCGTGCTTTTTTAAAACGACTGTTTCCCGCGTTCGCGTTCGCGGCGCGGAATCCCACCGTTCGGGAAGTGGAAATAGATAATGGAATTTCAATTAAAAAAAAATATTGTAATCGCATTAGTTCCATGAAAGCTTCGAAATAAAATGGAAAAAAAATCCGCGCAATTTAACGAACGTCCTAATAATTCTCCATCACCATTAGTAACAGTGGTCAATTATTTTTGCATCATCATGAATCATAGTGGCGGCGAAGCAGGATTTTACAGTTACGCTATACGCACGTTGTATTCTTTTCGATACTCGGAGAAGAAAATTTTCACATTTATTTTAACAGTCGTTTCAACCGATGGTGATTTAATCAATCAATTATCGATCGTTGTTATTAACAGATTCGTTTTTACTAAATTCAAATAGTAAATTGTTCGTCGTAAATAAATTGAAATCGATTCAGTGGCTTAGAAAGAAAATTTTCTGTCTGGATATATCGTTTATACGATACTTCTTTTCCTTT